TTTGAAAGATTGTCCTAACAAAGTATGCTGCCTTCCTGTCAGGAAACACTCTTGCTGCCGTTCACACTGTCACTTCATGGAGTGGATTGGAATATGGTTATTTGGGGGGACTTTTTTTTTTGGCTGTGCCACGCGTCTTACAGTATCTTATTTCCCCAACCAGGGATCAAACCCGTGCCCCCTGCAGTGGAAGCATGGGAGTCCTAATCACTGGACAGCTAGGGAATTCCCTGGGTGTGTGGGGGGGGGGGGGCTTTTTTTTTTTAATCTTTCTGAAGTATAAAACATATCAGTCACGTACCCAATCTTAAGTGTCCTGCTTGATGAATGTTTGCAAAGTGAACACGTCCATGTTAAGTGCCACTCATCAAAATTACCAGAAAACTCTTTCATGTACCATCCTCGTCATTTCCCTCCACAGAAGTAATCACTCTTCTGACTTCTATCATCAAGATTAGCACGCTCGTCCTGTTTTTGAACATTGTGTAAATGGAATCATACCGTATGTGTTCTTTTGTGTCTGCCTTCCTTCACTCAGTATTACGTCTATAAGATTGATCTACATTGCTGCATATGGAAATAGTTTGTTCTTTCATTACTGTAGAGTATTCCATTGCATGAATGAATATAGCACAATTTACTTACATATTCTACTGCTGATAGTCTACGACTGTTTCAGGTTTTGGCCTATTTTCAGTAAAGCTGCTAGGAACATTCTTATCCCTGTCTTCAGGTAAACATAACCACTTGTTTCTGTTCCATATTAAGCCAAGAGTGAAATTGCTGGAGCATGACATACATAGACACATATATGTATACATGTATACATATATACATACATATATATGTTCAGCTTTAATAACTACTGCCAAACATATTCCAGAGTGTTTGTGCCAATTAATACTCCCATCAACAACTATGAGAGGAGTTCAAATCACTCTGTATCCTTGTCAATATTTACTATTTTCAACTAATTTTAGCCATTCTAGTGGGTGTATAGTATATCGTGGTTTTAATTTGCTTTTCCCTCATCACTGATAGTGTTGATCTCCTTTTTAGGCTTCCTGGTCATTTGGATATATTCTTCTGTGAAGTGCCTCCTCAAATCTTTTTTTCTACTGATTTGTACAAGTTCTTTATATATTTTGGATATGATTTTTTTTGTTAGATATAGGTATAGTAAATTCTCCCAATATGTGGCTTGCCTTTTGACTCTCTTAATGGTGTCTTTTAATGAAAAGAGATATTAATTTTAATAAAATGCAGTTTATCAGTCTTTTTATGATTGGTTATTTTTATGACTTTTATTTTTCCCAGGGAGGCAGTTGATACAGGGAGCAGTAGGCTTGATGGAGCCATGTGGAACACTACCAAATCCACATTTACCCACGTACCAGATGTAGTTTAAAATTTCAGGCACAGGCTTTGAGGATCTATTGGATGTGCACAGGGGAGCATGAAAATATTCTTATATTTTCTACTAAAAGCTTTATTGTTTTACGTTCCATATTTAGGTCTGAGATTCACTTTGAGTTGATTTTTGTGTATGGTATGAGGTAAGAGTCAATGTTCATTTTTTCCCAGATATACAATTGCCTCAGCATCATTTATTATTAAAAAAGACCATGCCCCCCCCCCCCCCACTGAATTACAGGGGCATCTTTGCAGAAGTCAAGAGACTGTAAATGTGTGGCTTTGTTTCTGGACTCTTTATTCTGTTCCACCGGACTGATTCTTCATCTTTGGGCCTGTAGTGCACTGTCTTAATTACTGAAATGTTATATTAAGTCTTGCAGTTTGGTAGTGTTAAGGTGTCCAGTTTGTTGTTTTACTTCAAGATTGTTTTGGCTATCCTAGGTCTTCTGCCTAGGTTATAAATTTCCATAATAATGTTACAAAAAACTTGTTAACGTCTACAAGAAAATGCTAGCATTTTGATTTGGATTGCACTGAATCTATAGATCAAGTTGGGAAGAACAGACATCTTAACTCTTTTGAATCTTCCACTTCATGATAATGGTGTATCTCTCTGTTTATTCCATTTATTTAAGTTTTCTTTAATTTCTCTCAACAATGTTTTGAAGTCTCCATAGAAATTTTGCTTATATTTCATTGCATGAATTCCTTGATATTTGATGTTATTGATTCTATTATATTTTATTTTTCCCAATTGTTTGTTGCTAGTATAAAGAAATACATTGGATCTTTATTGACCTTGTACTCTGTGACCTTGCTAAATTCACTTGTAAATTCTAGTAGTTTGTAGATTACTTTGGATTATCTACATACAAAACCTTGACATCTCTAAGACAATTTGCTTCTTTCTTCTAATCTCTATGCTTTTAATTCCTTTTTCTTGCCTGGTTAGAACACTCCAATTCTAGTCAATACTGTTGAATAGAAGTGTGATGGTGAATATATGTCTTGTTCCTGACCTCAATGGGAAAGTGTTTAATATTTCACTATTAAATACAATTTTAGCTACAGGGCTTTTTTTTTTTTAAAAAAAAAAAGATATTCCTTCTTTGCTGAGAGCTTTATCATATTATTATGAATTTTTATCACACTGTTAAACTTTATCAAATGCTGTATCTAGTGAGATGATCATATGAGTTACCACCTATGTTCTGTTCATTTTACCCTTGATTTTTTTATTTTGAGATAACTTTAGAATCACATGCAGTTGTACAAAAATAATACAGACAGATCACATGTACTCTTTATCCAGTTTCCCTAAAAATAAGCATTTTTTCCAAAATTATAGTACAATGTCACAACCAGGGTATTGATATTGATATAATCCATTGATCTCATTCATGTTTCCACTCTGATTACTGAATATTAAACCAACCTTGCATTCTTTATTCATGAAATATATAATATTGCTAGATTCAATAAGCTAATATTTTGTGAATGATTTTGCATCTATCTTCATGAGAAATACTGGCCTTTAATTTTCTTTTCCTGTAATCATGTTGCCAGGTTTTGGTATTAGAATAATATTGACCTCATAGAATAATTTGGAAGTGTTTCTTTTTTCTCTATTCTCTGAAAGAGTTTGTGTATATTTGGTATTATATCTTTTTGAAATGTTTGGAAAACTTCACCAGTGAAGCAAGCCAGCTGGCTTCTTAAATTTTTAAAATGCAGATTGGATTTTTAAAAACATATCTAGGCCTAAATCAGAATTTTTGTTTCCTCCTGTTTCGTAGAAATATTTTTCAAGAAATGTGTCCATTTCATCTAAATTGTCAAATTTATGGGGAAAGTTTTTTTCTGCTTAATTTCCTTTTATCCTTTTAATAATGTCTGTAATTCTGGAGTGATGTCTCTTTTTCATTTATTTCCTCTCTTTTTTGATTAGTCTTACTATGGGTTATCAATTTTAGTTAACCCTTCAAGGAACCAGCTTTTGACTTTGTTGATTTTCTCTTTTATATGTCAACTTTCTATTTAATTAATTTCTGCTCTTTATTTCCTTTCTTCTACTTTCTTTGGGTTTATTTTTGCTGCTTTTTTTAGATTCCTGAGATGAAAGCTTAGATGATTGAATTTTCAAACTTTCTTCTTTTTAATACATGAAAGGTTATAAATTTCCCTTTAAACATCACTTTAACTGGTCCCCACAAGTTTTGATGTCATATTTTTCATTATAATTCAGAGTATTTTTTTCTTGTGATTTCTCCTTTCACACATAGGCTTTTCCGAAGTATCTTGCTTACCTGAAAATTACAGCTTTGTTTTTGTTGTTGTTGTTTTTAGTTATTTCCTACTGTGGTCAGAGAACCGTTCCATGCATTCCAACTTTTTGAATATTTGTTGTCACTTACTTTATGGCCCAGGATATAGTCTATTTTTGTAAATATTTTATGTACACTTGAAAAGTATGTGTAATCTACAGTTGTTTAACTTTTTATATCCTTAATGATTGGGGTTTTGTTTTGTTTTGTAATCAGTTATTGAGAGAGGTGTGGTAAGACCTTCAAGTCTAATGGTGAATTTGTTCCTGCCTGTTTTCTTTTTTCTTTTTTTATTGTGGTAAAATATACATAAGGTTTACCATATTGCTTTTTAGTTTGGTAAATTTTGTTTTATATATTTTGAGATATTATTATTTAGAATTGTTATATCATCCTGATGAATTAATCTGCTTATTATTGTGACATATATTTCTTCATTTTCTTTTCATTTTCTTAACACTTCTTACCTTAAAGTCTACTTTGTCGAATAGTTTGGTCACACCAGCTTCCTTCTGGTTAATGTTTGCATGGTGTATTTACGTTCAATCTATCTGTGGCCTTGTATTTAAAACGTGTTTCAAAAAAAAGGCATTTCTTGTAAAAAGCTTTATAAGTAGAACTAGCTTTAAAATGGAAAGCTGATGCCAAATTCAGGCACAGTCAGAGTGTCCTTGGCTTGTGGTACCAATAAGAGGGAAGGAGTAATGACCTTGGATAGAGACTCAGCAGTTTAGACTTGATATAGCTGATGGGAGATGGACCTCCCTATTGATGGAATATTTTTGTAAAAGAAATTACCACCCTCAAATTTGTTTCTAAAATGTTTGATTTTCATTATAGTGTTAGGTTAAAGAAGAGTCGACTTGAATTGTGGACTGGCTATCTATCATTCAGCACCCTCAGAGGGAAAGATGTGTAGTCAGTGCTATGCAGACCTCTAAATTTTCTCAGAAAATTCCTAATTGAACTATTTCATATTGGCATCCTAGATTGATCAGTAAATTTTTAAGTGGTAAGCAACCTCAGAGACCATCTTGGCCCACTGTCACGCTCCTCTATACTTGAATATGGAAATATAAAGTGTACTTTCATTTTTGTCACTCAGGCCATGCAAGTAAATGAATAGCTGAATACTCAGATCTTTGATTTTAAATGTAATTATGACCTTTAGAAATAACTGCTTTAAAAATGGACCAAAGAGTGAGTAAAATGGGTGACTGATATACCTCAGTTCCCAAAGGAAATGTATAAGAAGCTGTTTTTACTTTGCAGATTTCAGTCTTAGAGAAAAGACTTCATCATTTTATATGTGATGTGGCTTTCCGGGCTCCTGACATCGTCATAGAATTTGACTGGAGTCTCCTCTTGGAAATGGATGGGCATTTTCTTGCTCTCCACAGTCATGAGCTTCACTTCCAGGGGGCCCAAGTTTACATAATCCTGTGGTGAACAGACACAGAGGAGAATAGGAGAGGTTATTCAGCAAGTTACCAGCCTTCATAGATCAGGTTTTATTTACTATAGTTGGCCTCTATATGACAGATTTCATTGCACTCCTAATTGTCTGAATGCTGTATGACATGTGAAATATGAGAGCTACTGTAAATAAAAACCACTCAGTAAAGTTATATACCCAGTGGGGGCATGGTAGGCAAATCTCCCAAAGAGCAGGCAGCAAGGCTTGCAGGCTTGTCTTTTGGGGGCTTGAGCCGGGGAGGGAACATCAACTACAGCAGGGAGATATATTCTCTGCAAGCTCTTTAATTGGTAAAAGGAAGTAGGAAGTATTGGCTGCATTTATATAGCCCTCTGCTGGCCAGGATATAAGCACAGCAGAGTTTTCTATATTATTCAAGAACAAAATGAGTGATCTGCAAACATCTTTGACGATAAATATCTTTTTTTTTAAATAAATTTATCTATTTATTTATTTATTTATATTTTTGGCTGTGTTGGGTCTTCGTTTCTGTGCAAGGGCTTTCTCTAGTTGCGGCGAGCGGGGGCCACTCTTCATTGCGGTGCGCGGGCCTCTCACTGTTGCGGCCTCTCTTGTTGCGGAGCACAGGCTCCAGACGCGCAGGCTCAGTAATTGTGGCTCACGGGCCCAGTTGCTCCGCGGCATGTGGGATCTTCCCAGACCAGGGCTCGAACCCGTGTCCCCTGCATTGGCAGGCAGATTCTCAACCATTGCACCACCAGGGAAGCCCGACGATAAATGTCTTAATATTGAGCAAATCTACATGGGTTTTGCACATTTCACAGGATCTACTGTAGATATAAAACTTACCACATTCTGTCAAACTGAATATAGTTTCAGATATCAACAAACAGAATTAGAAGTCTAATTTATATGAAATCCCACAGCTAACCCCAAACTGACTTGAAACAGCTCCAGCCCTACCCAATGGGCCTTCCTCTTGGAAGCCTCTCCAAGCTGTAACTCCTTCTTTTGGATTCCTTCAACACTTCAACAAACCTTTCCTGAGTGCCTACTATGTGCCAGGCTGTGTACCAAGTGCTGGGGCAAAAGACTGGTCAGGGAGACAGATACAGGTAGGACATTCCTCCTGTACAGTAATCAATGATTTTATCAGTTTTCTACTAGCATGTACACTATTTAGGGTAGGGCCTGCCACATAGGCATCTTTGAGACTTCATTTCTTCCTGTTCTTCCCCTTAAATTCTCAAGCATCTAACAAGTACCTGGCATGTTGTGAGGGTCTCAATAAACATCTATTAGAATTTAGGAGAGTCAAAGAATGAAAAAGGAAGGCAATGTTTTATTAATATTTCTCAAAAATTCATATAACTGTATGTAGCTTTTAAAATACATAATTGCAGAGCTACAATAAATGCGAGATAGGAGAAAAGTAAATTGATGGAAGTCTACCATATATTTCAGAACCATCTGGAGCAGGATTCTGAAGTAATAGACTCTCTTAGTCTGCTTGAACTGCCATAGCAAATACCACAGGCTGAGTGGCTGAAACGACAGAACTTTATTTCTCACAGTTCTGGAGGCTGGGAAGTCCAACATTAGGATGCCAGCATGGTTGGGTTCTGGTGAGAGCCTCTTCCTGGCTGGCAGATGGCTGCCTTCTCACAGCGTTCTCACAAGGCAAAGCCTCTTCTTATAAGGCCACAGTCCTATCAGATGAGGGCCCATCTTCATGACCTCATATAACCTTAATTAACTCCTAAAGCCTGTATCTCCAAATACAGTCATATTGTGTGTTAGGGCTTCAACATGTGAATTTGGGGGAGGGGTGGGGACAAAATTCAGTCTGTAGCACATACAATACCATTTCCACCACATCAAAAACTTCCGTGGAAAGTAAGGTCTTAGAAGAGAACGTAGGCGAAACATTCTCTGACATAAATCATACCAGTGTTTCCTTAGGTCAGTCTCCTACGGTAATAGAAATCAAAGTGAAAATAAACAAATGGGAATTAAACTTACAAGCTTCTGCACAGCAAAGGAAACCATAAACAAAAGGAAAGGATAACCTACAGAATGGGAGAAAATATTTGCAAATGACACAACCAACAAGGGCTTAATTTCCAAAATGTACAAACAGCTCATACAAGTCGACAACAAAAAAACAAACAACCCAATCAAAAAATGGGCCTAAAGAGACATTTCTTCAAAGAAGAAATACAGATGGCCAATAGGCACGTGAAAAGACGCTCAACGTCGCTAATTATTAGAGAAATGCAAGTCAAAACTACAATGGGTTACCACCTCATGCTGGTCAGAATGGCCATCATTAAAATGTCTACAAATAACAAATGCTGGGGAGGGTGCAAACCTCCTGCATGGTTTGTGGGAATGTAAGTTGGTGCAGCCACTATGGAAAACAGTATGGAGGTTCCTCAGAAAACTAAAAATAGAATTACCATATGATCCAGCAATCCCACTCCTGGGCATATATCCAGACGAAACTATAATTCAAAAAGATACATGCACCCCTATGTTCATAGCAGCACTACTCACAATAGCCAAGACATAGAAAAAGCCTAAATGTCCATCAACAGATGAATGGTTAAAGAAGATGTGGTACATATATACAATGGAATATTACTCAGCCATAAAAAAAAAGAATGAAATAATGCCATTTGCAGCAACATGGATGCAACTACAGATTATCGTACTAAGTAAAGTAAGTCAGAGAAAGACAAATACCATATGATATCACGTGTGGAATCTAAAATATGACACAAATGAACCTATCTATGAAACAGAAAATCAGGGACATAGAGAATAGACTGGTGGTTTGCCAAGGGGGAGAGGGGGTGGGAGAAGGGAGGAGTGGGAGTTTGGGGTTAGCAGATGCACACTGGTATACATAGAATGGATAAACAACAAGGTCCTACTGTATAGCAAAGGGAACTATATTCAATGTCCTGTGGTAAACCATAATAGAAAAGAATATGAAGAAGAAGAATGTATATATACATATACATGTATAACTGAGTCACTTTGCTGTACAGCAGTAATTAAGACAACATTGTAAGTCAAATAGAAAAGAAATTTAAATAAATTCAACGGATAAAAACAAAGACATAAAAAGTAAGAAGGTTTTTCATTCAACCAAATGATATGCAAGTTTGGAATTTTATAGACAGTTGTCCACTAGCGTGAGGTTATTGTAACATACAAGGCGACATGATTCCAATATACTCATGGGAGTGTTTGAGTGTTATAGAGACTAGAGCTTTAGTCTTTAAATTATCACTTGATGGTAGCAGGACTGAGTTGTACTTAGTTAAAATGGTTTTTGTTGATTTATTCAGTTTCTTTTGCTTTCTTAATCACTCTTTCTCCTACCAGACTTTAAGTTCTAGGAGAACTTTCAAGGTTATTGGTAGTACCAAGAGGGAAAACAGCAAGGGGTGGATGTGAAAGTGACTGGAATGTACCAAAAGGTTTTAAAATTAAAAGGCTTGATAATCTAGGTTTCACCTAATGGTATATGTGACTGTTTGTACTTTCCAAAGATGGTCATGCTAATATACATCCTATCCCACATGATTTTCTTACAATATGATGCTGACCTTCCTCTTTCAAGATGCAGGAGCTACACTGTTTCTCTTTGGGTGGAACTTTGTAGCTACATCGACAAATAGAATATGATGGAAGTGTTGGTGTCCGATTTCCAAGGCTAAGTCATATGAAACATTTGGTCTCTGGGACTGATTGCTTTGGAAGAAGCCAGATACTGTAACAAAGGGACAATAAAGGTGCCCTGTAAGGAGGCCCATGTGAAGAAGAACTGAAGCCCCCAGCTTAGCCAGCATCAACTTGCCAGCCATGTGAGTGAACCACCTTGGAAGTGGATCTTCCTGCCCAAATCAAGCCTTCAGCTAAATATAACTGCACCTTCTAGAGAACCCAAGTGAGGACTGTCCACTGGAGACCTTCCCAAATTTCTAACCAACAGAAGCCCTGAAAGAGAATAAATGATTTATTGTTATAAGCACTAATTCTTGAGGTAATTTGTTATGTAGCACTAGATAACTTACATGGTATACTAGTAATGGATGTCTATAAATGAATATATGTAGTAAGTTGGGCAAAGGTAGGAGTGAAAATAGTATCTAGTGACAGACATGAATGGTTGGCAAATTTTACTAATAATTGCAAATAGAATTTTTCAGCATCCATACTGCAGGTTAATTTTCTCCACTAACTAATAAAGCAACATTTTCTCTAGTAGTCAAGATGTTTTCTCATGAATCTTACCTTGAAATCCCGCTCATCCTCATACAGTAAGTATTTCATATCAGAGGCTCCAAACTCTATACTTGAACTCTCTTCATCTATCTTCAGATGCTGGCTGTATCTGCTGCTATCCTCATGACTAAGATGTAAAGCACTGCTCCCAAGTGATAAGCTCAACAAGTCTCTACTTTTTACTTCTGCAGGTTGCAATTGTGACTTTTCTGGGATGAGTGCAAAGAAATTAATTATGTACAATTTTTGAACAGATTAGAAATACAATACATACTTTGTCACATTCTTTTTTCAGTTTTAGGTTTTTTTGAATTGAAATATGGTTGCTTTACAATGTCGTGTTAGTTTCTGGTGTAGTGACTCAGAGAGATATATATATATATACGCTCCTTTGTCACATTTTAAATTTGAAAGACCTTTGAGAATCTCCTGGAGGAGAAAAATTTGAGAATTAGAAATGTAGAATCTAGGTATTAAAGTGAGAGTGAGTCCTATTATTCGAAACCGCATCTAGGTTGTATTTCCTTCTGTTAGCTAATAAGTTATAATAATCACATGGGGACCTGTGAGTGTGTTGGTATTTTGGTTGGTTGGCTAAATTGGAGCACTAACCATGCCAGTGTAGACATCATTCCATCCTTCTCTACCAGTGTCTATTTAATTCACTGTGACACATGGTGACTTTGATTTGAAAAGTCACTAGAGAAAGGAGATGGGTTAGGTAAGCTCTGCAAGCATAGAGAAATATGGAGGAGCTGGCAGGCATCTATTCGCTGAATAGCTCTCTGATATAAGGTTCCTGTCCATAACAAGAAGCGCAATTAAGTGTTTGTCAACTTTTTAAAAATCACCATTACAATAAAATAATACCTATATATGTTTTTGGCAACTCCAAAGGCATTTCTTCCTGTGGCACTTCCTGTCCAACAGCTTGAGCAAGATATAGTCGCCTAAAAACAAATAAGAAAAGTAGTCTGTCAGTCAGCAAATATTGTACCACCTGCTCAGTAGTGTCTTATCTCTCTGCTGGGTGCTGGAGACACAGATGAGAAGGGGGCATCAGGCCCAGTGGGGTGGCAGACGGGCTTACAGTGTTTGATGGTGATGGTTTGTACCATGGTGGGTAATTATGTGAGGAGCACAGTGTCAGGAGTGCCACGGGGCAAAGAGAAGCAGCACCGGATTTAGCCTTAGGAGGTAAGGAGAGGTTTCCAGGAGAAGATGAAACCTGCGTTGAGTCTTGAAACACCAGGGGCTGTTTGCCAGGGAAGAGCTTGGGGTGAGGGGAGGGCATCCCGTGATTAGGAAATAACAGGCTTAAAGTCCCAGAAATGAGAGCGATCATGACACCAGTTAGGTCACTGTTGCAGGGAATCCAGATGAGGAATGGGATGGGATTTGAGATAAAGAGAAAAAGAGAAAGACAGCAGTAGGAATCCAAGATGACACCTAGGTTCTGGCTCTCGCTGAGCGGCGTGTTCCAGCTACAAGCCTGGTGAGTTTGCGTCTGCTGTTGCAACTCTCTGCGCTGCAGAGGCCAGTGGGATTTTCAGTCAGAGGACGTGATACCTTGAAAGCTCCATACAGCACCGCCATGAAGTTTGCCTGAAGCTATAGCGTGAAGCAAGTGCCCCTGGCAGATGCGCCAGCCACACTTCATGCTTAGCAACCAGAGTGAATCCCCTGGATTACAGGCTGTCAATTACTTAAAGACCACGAAGGAGGTGTTATCTGAGATGTTTAGAGCTCCAGCAAATAATGTAACTACATACAATATTTATATCTTAAAACCTTCTTAAGTGTTGACTTAGTGAAGCTCTGATCTGCAGGTGGACAAGTCTGAGGCCACAGAGTTCTCTTCTTTCCTGGTTTTACTCTTGAATAACTACGATCTTACTAAATGCCGTACCCTTCTTAAGTCTGGCTTCTCTCTTAATCATTAGTTTATTGTCACTTTTGTACCACCACAGGGCAGCAACATTTGTTACAGAAAATATTTTACAGAACGTTATCATATGAAACTAGCGTTAGATTTGAGGTACTGGTCCACCTAGCCTCAGCTCTGCGGCCTGGGAGTCCCTGGGCAGTCACCTCTAGCTTATTCAGCTCATCTAATGTATCAGACAAATACTATGATGTTCTATGGGAGTCAGGAAGGAAAGAAGTTTGGGGAGCTCTGGATGGGAAATACAATAACTCTATTAGGTAGAATACCCCATTCTTCATCCAAATAGGGAAGTTTTTATTCGTTTACTGGGTACTGTTCATGTCTATTTCTCACCCTACCAGAATATACAGGACTAAATTCTCAACAAAGAGGTGGAAAGGGCAGTTACCATAAATTACACAGTATGTGTTAACATTTCTTTGACTTGAAAATGGATACAGGAAAAGCTCCTGAACTTTTCCTTCTAGATAAGCATTGTAACAGATAATTGAGGGTTTACACATTTCTCTGTTTCTTTATTCGGGTCTTTCTAAGATGTCCTAAACACTTGTCTCAAGGACAATCTAGCAAGGAAGCAGATGTTTAAAAAGTAGTCCCTACCCTGATAAATGCTAGTTACAAAGGAAAAGTTCAGTGTGCCATGGAGGCAAATACCGGGCACCAAACCCAGTTCTTCTAAACGTCGCCCATGCTGTTTCTTTTCCCTCGGACAGATTTTGCATTCATCTCTCCCAACTCTGAAGCAAAACTAAGCACTCAGGTCTCTCACTAAAGAAAACCAACCCACAAAGCATTGATGAACAATGTGGATTTCTGTGGGGAAGCTAGCAGATAGGTTTAAATTGCATACAATACAGCAAACAACTTAATGAAAATCGCCATTAAAAGTTTCTCATCTCCCTTTCCTGTCCTTGCCAAGCTCTCTCTGGCCGATGAAAGATTTCCCCTTTATTATAATGAGCACTTCACACCCACATCAGCAGCAAATCAGGTGCACTAGACTGAGCTGACCAAAGCAGGAAGTGGGGTTGGCAGTTTACAGGGTAGCTCTTTCCTAAGGGTTGGCTGGTTCGGAAGAGAGAAAAAGAACACAGCGGACAGCAGGTGGAGCAGTGGTTAGAAGGCAAGGCTGGCAGAGATTCCGCGTGATCACAAAGGGGTGGCAGCAGCAGGTGCTTCGGGGTAGAGGCGGGACGGGAGTGTGGAGCTGGAGACCTGATCATAGGGAGGGAGGCTGGCAAAAGAGAGCATTGCCTGCTGGGGTGACAGTGAGGCCCCCCCACCCCCTAGGGACCCTCAAGGGCATCAGCTCAAGAGACTGGAAGTACAGGAGTCCAGTAATCAGCCAATTCATTCAGCCTGACTGCCTACCTCATTTACACTGGTATCTGTGGCTCCAGGGCAGCACACATAGACTGTGGAAGGGAGGCAGGTGGCCTCTTTCTCTGTCCTGCCCCACCCAGTGTTCAGCCTATAAAGTAATTGCACCATCTCCCATTTCTCCAATCTTGTATCCCGACACCCATCACTTAGCTCAGCAAATAAAAACCCCACAACTTGTATCTACCCTTCTTGAAGCACATTAGGAAGTTTGCCAACAATAAATACTTTATTATGTCTCTAATAGTATTTTCTCCACGCCACACAAGCAAGACCTACTCAGGTGGAAGTGTTTTCCTGACCCTTCCACCATGTTGAACTTCTCTCCCATCTTGCACATGTACACCTCACATTTGTGTGATTTAGTTCCTCAATCTTCCTAAGCATGTTACTATTTAGGTTATTTCTTGTTTCTGACTACTTGTCCAAATTATGAATGCCACTTTGGGTTTTAATACCACATTCCAGGGCTCTAATTTTTCATCAAGATTGGTATATTAAGACTTTTTTTTGTCAGGTAAGAAAAAGAGATAACCTAAACTACAAAGCCATATACATATTTGATTTCTCTCATGCAGGAATAAATGTGACTTGGAAGGCCAGGCTATTTTCTCTGCCTAGCAAGTGGTTTGCCTCTTTCATTAACTGTCAGAGGAAACCATTCTATAATCCACAAGGTAAGCAGATGCTCAGAACACTCCAGGAGCTCCCATCAAGTTGACCACTCCTCCTGTGTGCTGGCTTCGAACCCCGTGCCTCTTCCGCTGTACTGTTGTGCATTTATTGTTATGCCCAATCCCCTGCTGGCCCAGAGGCTTCTGAAGGGCAGCAGCTGTGACATTCATGTTCAGTGTTTGCTACTGTGACCACAGGGCATTGTTAGAAAAAGCAAGTCGAAGTCTGCACTGGACCAGTGGTCGGCTGTAATGATCTTATACCTTCCCCATGGCCATTTTGTGAGCTCCTTTCTTTCCAACTATTAAAGAATTGTCATCGTAAAAGAAATAACTTTTTACAGATACAAATGTTAAAAAAAAATACTTTCTAGATATGTAATGACTCTCACCTGGGTATTTTGAGATCCACAAGTCTGCAGTTGAACAGCTGATCAATAAGCACCAAATTTTCTCCTTCCAGCTCATGAATAGCATGTTCCAGTTCTTCCACTTCCTTCCTGTGATTTGCGATCTATTCTCAGGAAAAGAGAGTGGGTGTTAGTACTTATGGACTTAGTTCTATCTAGTCCTCTATAAAACACTCAACTTTTAAAAGTGCATTTGTGGTACTTCCCTGGTGGTGCAGTGGTTAAGAATCCACCTGCCAATGCAGGAGACACGGGTTTGAGCCCTGGTTCAGGAATATCATCCCACATGCCGTGGAGCAACTAAGCCCGTGCGCCACAACTACTGAGCCCGCGTGCCACAACTACTGAAGCCTGCGCGCCTAGAGCCCGTGCTCTGCAACAAGAGAAGCCACCGCAATGAGAAGCCCACGCACCACAACGAAGAGTAGCCCCCACTTGCCGCAACTAGAGAAAGCCCGTGCAACAACGAAGACCCAACAGCGCCCAAAATGAATAAATTAATTAATTTTTTAAAAGTGCATTTGCCTGAGGGGAAGATCTATCCTGTATTATTTATTACTGGGTTTGCTCTAAGAAGGAACAGGTGGGACTTTTTTCCTGGTCATTTGCAGAACTTGGTTGCATGATTAGGCAGTTATTACTGAATGGCAGGAGCAGTCCTTTCCTACTCTTCAGAAACATCACTGGATTTATCTGAGCTGGAGGCAGAGATAAATAAGAAAATAAGACTAATTTATCACTCTGGTGTTAGTAGCTAAATGAGGCTCTATCTAAGGTTAATTATAAACAACATAATGAAAACTAATAACACTGGGAAAAAATCTTTATTATGGCAATTAAAAAAGAGAAGTACAGGCCTAGGAGCCCTTTCTATCAGCCTCTATAGGACAATTATATTCTCTCTTGAGTGTGCTGGAGTCATTCCGAGAAACATCAGAGAGATGAAATGTTGTTCATTCACTCATGTAATTGTAGCGTATGCCTACTAGGCGTCAAAAACTATAGTACACTTTGGGAACAAAGGATCAATAAGATACAATAACCTTCAAGGATCTCTTAGTTTAATGGGAAAGAGTGATAGCAACAGAAAATAGTGTGATAAAATCATAATGGAAGCCATCCAGGGACTGTGGGAGAGATAGAGGTTCACCCTATGTTCGCCAGGTGTGAGGGGGTAAAGGGGAGTTAATGGAAGAGATGACCTCTCTTCTGGATCTTGAAGGCCAAGTAGAGATTCTCTAGCAGACAAGAGAGGATATATTCTAGGCAGAAGGAGCCACATGGATAAAGGCACATGTGCCTTCTATCCACATTTTGGTGTGGATAGAAATAAAATGGGAATGGGGAGAAGTAGAAGAACTGGACAAGTAGGGGAGCCAAGTAATGCTAAAGAGTCTTATTTCTATCTCGCAGGTGATGGAAGGTCCTTCGTGGACATAGCAGGCTTAACGTTTACTGAAGAAATGTGGCTAACTCAAACAGGAGTTCTGTTGATAGAGTTCCCATCAATCTTTAAGAAATGTATTTTGATAACTTTTGTCTAAAGAAGGCTTGATTGTGGGAAGAATATATAGAAGAATGTGACTAGATAGAATCCCCACCTTCCCTCTCTGCCCCCCAAAACAGCATGAGCTGGATTGAGAGGTGCTCGTGTGGAGAAGTCAGGACAATAGAAGAATTAGAAATAAGACAATAAAATAGAAAGTGATCGGCTGGTGAGAATAGTGGAATAAGTAACATGTCTCCAGGGAATATGATGAAATAAGGGCACAGGGTAGGGGTTTCGATTCAGTATCTCTTGTTAGGAGTTGCCAAGAGCATAACTGAGATGAGTACTTAGAAAAAGATGACTAACATTTTTTATTTGTAGTTGAAATTATTGTATTTTGGAATCTGGAAGCACTCAGTATATTACCAGATGGATATCCCTTTCACATAAGTCATTTATTAAATGCTTGAATTCTTACCATGGGTAAGGCTCTGTCCTAGAGGTAGACGGATACAAAATCCAATAAAGTGTGGCTCCTTCCCTCAAAAGAGGGAACAAGTATACAAACCAGTGAACAAATATACAAATAATTATAATATAAAACAGTACCAGTGTCATAGAAAAGGCTCAAATATTGCTGCTGGCTTAGAGATGGAAAGAAAAGCATATATTATTTACCAGCCTTAAACAATTTCACAAAACCATTTAAGTCCATAATTCTACATTACAGAGCTAGGTGTTGGTGCTTTAGGATCTCATGTTTTTAAGATATGATCAGCTTGATTACAAGCCTGAATGCCTTAAGGAAAAGTTTATAATTTTCAAATGTCAAAGGATGAGAAAAAATCATAGTTAGAGGTTGTAAAAGAAGGAATTAATAGAATGTGTGACTAAGGGTTTGGCATACTTGGGAGGCCGCACACACAATTCTTGGTCTCCTGCCAAAGCTGGGAATGAGGGCCCATTTGGGGAGTTAAGTCCAATCTTTCAAGCTATGGATATCCTGTGACATCACCTATCCCTGTAGAGTGCTAAGTAAGGTTCTCATCAATTGCTATCTCCCTCCCAGTCTTTTGAAATGTTAGGGAAATGAAAACTAGTTCCTTTTTATAGCCGTATAAATACCTTTAGTTTCTGGGGTAAGAAAGTATAAAGAAGGAAGTAGAAGACCTCTTTTCCTTCCCCGCCCCTGCTTCTCCCCAGATACCCAAGAAATGTACTTAAGAAATTGGGCAAGATAATTTAGTTAAAACTATTATAAGTCAGGGACCTAGGATCCTGAATAAAATGCATGCTCTTGAAATTTTCCCCTGCAAGATCCAAGTTAGCTTTATGCCTCCTCACGTTTGAAACTCTGATTGCTAACCTCTTTGAATCCCTTTGCCTAGTTTTTCCAGCTTTCCATTTGTTGTTAGTCCAGGTTATTTGGAAATTTGAATTTTCTTCATGTTCCTAATAAGCATGCTAAATAAAACCAGATAATAAAAGTCATGCAATGGGACATCTCATTCTTCCCAGAGATGTCAGTTTTTGATTATTGTTGAAAGATAGCTAAATGGAGAAATATTTGGGGGAGTTCCACTGTTAAATATCCCTTGTTACTCATTCTAAGCCTTCCTCAAAGAAATTAATTGACATACATTGTTCTATTTCCAGGCAATTTTCAATTATTGTGATAGTACTTATAACCAGAACTGGTTTTAATTAATTTTGTGAGTAAATTTAATGACAGCAAAAATGAATATTTATTGAAATAAAGAGAAATTAAATATATTGAATTATATGATTTGTTCTTTATTAGTGAGCTCTTTTTGCTCATGATTCAGTTAAACTTGACGTTTTTTCTGTCTTTTGTTTCCACTGAATTATGAGAATTAAAAAATAAAACAAAATGTAATTTGTGTCTTTAGTAGGAAGGACCAAGGCACAAAATGGCCTTTCTTTTCAGTCGAATATAAACTTTTGTAGTTATTTTCTCTGAACTTAACATCTATGATATCTTATAAAATTTAAGGTTTGAATTGTTAAATTATTATCACTAGGATCATACTGTTATATTTAATAAAAGTATAAGAACCAAGTTTCTCCCTAATATTCTTTAACTATTGAGCTCACCTTGAGTTTTTAAAATTAATACTTATTTTTTAAAATTGAGGATTCATCTTGATTAGTTTTGGAAATAGTATGGATTCCTACTCACCATGACTTTATAAAGGCAATTTCAAGATAATTGTCAATATCATAGAAAGCATATTGATTTTTAAATTCTTTTGTTTCCTAGACTAACCAACTCTTTTCAGTCAAATGGGAGCAAGGAAAATGGAAAAGAAGCTGATGGTAACATTTTTACCTCGGGTGTCTGAGCAGATGGCAAAAAAAGAAATGAAGGAAAAGAATATCTAAGAAGAAATTTAATAAATTATGCTTCAGGTATGTTGAGTTTGAAGTGCCTTTGCGACATCTATGTGGAAATATTCAGTTATTGAATTGTATGAGCTGTTTGTATATTTTGGAAATTAAGCCCTTGTTGGTCACATCTTTTGCAAATATTTTCTCCCAGTCTGTAGGTTGTCTTTTCTTTTTGTTTGTGGTTTCCCTTGCTGTGCAAAAGCTTATACACTTGATTAGATCTCATTTGTTCATTTTGTTTTTATTTCTTGTACCTTGGGAAACTGACATAAGAACACATTGCTATGATTTATGTCAGAGAATGTTTTGCCTGTGTTCTCTTCTAGTTTTATGGTGTCTTGTCTTAATATTTAAGTCTTTAAGCCATTTCGAGTTTTGTGTGTGTGTGTATGGTGTGTGGGTGTGTTCTAACTTCATTGATTTACATGCAGCTGTCCAGCTTTCCCAACACCACTTTGCTGAAGAGACTGTCTTTTCCCCATTGTACATTCTTGCCTCCTTTGCTGAAGATTAATTGTCCATAGGTGTGTAGGTTTATTTCTGGACTCTCTCTTCTGTTCCATTGATCCACAGGTCTGTTTTTGTGCCAATACCACACTGTTTTGATTACTGTAGATTTGTAGTATTTTCTGAAGTCTGGGAGGGTTATGCCTCCTGCTATGTTCTTTTTCCTCAGGATTGCTTTGGCAATTCTGGGTCTTTTATGTTTCCATATAAATTTTAGGATTATTTGTTCTGGTTCTGTGAAAAATGTCATGGGTAATTCAATAAGGATTGCATTAAGTCTCTAGATTGCTTTGGGTGGTATGGCCATTTTAACAATATTAATTCTTCCAATCTAAGAGCATGAGGTATCTTTCCATTTCTTTGAATCATCTTCAGTTTCCTGTATTAATGTTTTGTAGTTCTCAGCATATGTCTTTCACCTCCTTGATTAGGTTTATTCCTAAGTATTTTATTTCTATTTTTTGGTGCAATTTTAAAAGGGATTGTTTGTTTGCATTCCCTTTCTGATATTTCATTGTTAGTGTAAAGAAATATAACCCGTTTCTGTATGTTGATCTTGTATCCTGCCACCTTGCTGAATTCATTTGTCAGTTCTAGTAGTTTTTGTGTGGAGTCTTTAGGGTTTTCTATATATAGTATCATGTCATCTGCATATAATGACAACTTTACCTCTTCCCTACCAATTTGAATACCTAAAGAGGCAATTTACAATAGCAGAGAATGAGGTTAAAATGATCCTTAAACCTTGCTCCCATCACCCATGAGGAAGTAGGGTCCAGAGGAAGGCCAGATCAGTTTTAGGACATAAAGAAGCTTTGCACACTTGAGTATGTTGTATGAATTGTAACACCAAAAATGATTTCTGTTTATTATTGAGATTATTTATGGTGTTCATTGAGTAATAACTTGTAATAAGATTAGGACTCCACTTGAATTTCATTTTACCTCAGTCAGTCATGGTTCCATGCTTTTCCCATGACTTCAGCTCACATTTCCAGTTCAAAAAAATGAGAAAGAAGAAATTGGCTTTGTTTCTAAAAATTCCACTTACCTCTTTTTTGAGCCAGTCATTCTCCCAGATCTCTCGATAGCTGCCCTTGTCAATGAACCTTATAGCATTCTAAAAAAAAAAAACAAAACTTTTCTGTATTAAAGAAGAGCTGCCACATAACATTTAAGAGTTTTAGCAATGGGGATACACAATCAACTTATCTGATCATTTAAAATTATGTTTTGCAATTACTTTGGAAATATACCTAAAAACTTTTGGTGCAGTTGTTCTTTCTTTATTATCCTGTTGTATTGTTTTTGCTGATTTACATTGCCTAACACAGGTGATTGAGAGAACTGGACAATGGTTGTCCATTCAATTTGGCCCCTATTGTGACTGAATCTGACTGCCATGGTGAAATCAGTCATTAATTGATCTGCTCCACAATTAAGATGGTTAAACTGCAGTGATCAAACTTCCTTCAAGTTTATGGTCACAGACATAATTCAATGTATAGCAAAGGCATGAATAGATTATATAACTACCTTTTTAATTTGAAAGATTTCTGCATGGCAATAATAACAATATACATACTTACAAACTTAACAGCCAATAGTTTCAGGATAGCAGGCTGTAGCTAGATAGTCTCCTGGAAAAAGGCATTTTAGACAAAGCAAACAGGAAAATCCTTATTTTATCAGTAGGATCTTAAAATGTAAATTCATATTCAGTTACTAGGATATTTACAGTTTCACCCAAAGGAACTTTATAATGGATGACAGATTCTAGTTATATGTGAGGTACTTTTATATGGATACCGTGCTACAAACGCAGGAACTGAAGGACATAACCACAAGAAGAAAAATATTCTGGTTCATAAACATGGATTGAAATAATTTAAAACTATGTTAAGGGTAAATTTGTGTAAGTCTTTAAAGTAGGAAGATGTGCAATAAATTTCTTTTCTTTAAATCATGGTAATTGACCAAAGAGTGAACCTCCATTTCCTGGGAACCAGGAATTTTTATACTTCGGCTCCAACTGATAAGTCTAAAGTTTATTTGAACATAGAATTTTGTTTGAACAAAAGTAGGAAGTCACTCATAATTGAATTTAGTTGACTAATGGCTTAATTCACTAACAATAGAGTAGTGTTTTCAGCTTTGGCTACACATTAGAATCTCCCAGATATTTTGAAAAATCCAAAAGCCCAGGCAACATCCCAGGCCAATTACATGAGCATCTCTGTGGGTGGGACCCAGGACCCACCTGGGTTAAACAAATTTCTCAGGTGACTCCAATAAGCAGCCAAGGTTGCACAAAAGTAGTAGATTTTAGAAGTTAACACATAAGATGGCCAGAGAAAATGAGGAAAATTCGTTCACGTGTGTGGGTGTTTGGCAGTATGTGGGGAAAAGAAAATGTACAATGTAATGATTAAGAGTAATGATCTGAAGAAGCTATCTTAACTCTCTATTCTGCCACATGCTCTGGGCAAGTTACAAAGTTTCTCTGTGCCTCTGTCTTTTTATTAGCAAGTCTTTCCCTTAACAGGATTGTTGGGAGACTTTAATGTAAAATGTTAGGAACAGTATTGGGAACAGTCTTCATTATATATTGAATGTACATACTGAGGGCATATTTGATCTACATATGCATTTTTAATCATCTTAACTATGATCAGATTACTTAATTGTTGATTTCACCATTTAATCATATTCAGTAACAAAGGGTCTGAATTGCATGGGCAGACAAAACCGTTGGTCAGTTCTCCACATCCTCTGTATTTGTGTTAATCAGTAAAATCATGCAGTAGAATAGTAACACTGAAAGAACAATTGAACCAACAGGGAAGCAACAAACAAAGGCAACTGAAATTCAGTGAAGAAAAGACCAGATGTTTATGACTCTGAAGAAAGGATGTTCCAGATAAAGAGACAATCCCAGCAGGGACCTCACTGATTTAGGAGACAGTCTGGAGACAGGGGAAGGGCAGTGAAAAGGAAAGAAAGTCAGGCATTTGGGGCAAAACAAAGGTTAGAAAACATGAATTGGAAATTACATCTCAAACATTTTTTTATATCCCCAATTTTTAAAGCTCCAGCAATGTAAAGTGTACTCTCTTAGGTTTGCATATGTAAGAAAGTACTTTTTAGACAAATTATATTTCATCCTATAATTCATCCAAAATCTAATTTAATAATTTGTTGTAGCCATTATTATTATACTTAAAAATAACCGAATATTAATTTACTGAGCTCTTGCTCTTATGAGGCACTATCAATCCTTATACTATTCATTAAAGTTAAATATTATTATTGTCCCCTTTTTATAGATTAGGAAACCGAAGCCCAGAAAAGTCAAGTATAAATTCAGTTTATGCACCCAGTAAGTGGTAGAACTGTGATTTAAACTAAACTGCCTAATTTCAAAACACAAGTTTCTGACCGTTATAATACACCATGAGAAAGAAATGGGTGGGGGGAGCTTTGTTTTCTAAGGAAATTGAAATACAGACAGGAGAGGGTGAAATAGGTGAAGGGGATTAAGAGGTACAAACCTCCAATTATAAAATAAATAAGCCATGGGATGTAATGTACAGCATAAGGAATATGGTCAATAATAACTTTGTATGGAGACAGATGGTTACGAGACTTATCATGGTGATCATTTCATAACGTATGCAAATGTCAAATCCCTCGGTAGTACACCTGAAACTAACATTTCAGTTAAAATTCTGAAATTCTGTGTGAGAAGAATTATACATCAACTACATTTCAGTTAAAATTTTGAAATTCTGTGTGAGAAGAATAAAAATCTATCAGAAAAAAGAAAGAAAGAAAATTGAGATATACCTCTGTGGCCCATTCCTTCTTTTGGTTCAGTTGCAACAAAGTTTCTCTGATTATTCTCTTTCTATCATCTTCCAGGGTGATTTTATACTGTTCTTTAAAAAGAAAATTAGAAACCTTAAGATCCTAGGTAAAACTATGAAGTTATAAATTTTATTTTCCATGATCCCCACCTCTCCTTTCTATGTACTTTTTCTTTTCTGAATTTTCAAGGTACATTCTTACTGAAGCATCTAGTACCTCCAATTAGAAGAAATGCTCCAATAATTTACTAACACCTTAATGTGACTTCGTTTACAATGATACCTGTCTCATGAATAGTCATAGTTTTAAAGGATTGTCTCTCCAAAGGGAGAATTTCGAACACTTTAGTACCTATGCAGCCGTCTACTTTTCATATCACACAACTTCTGATTCTACCACATAAATATGAAGAGATTTGATTACACACTTGAGTGGCATCCTGTACATCTAACTCCTTCTAACTAATTTTCCAATATTCTTGGCATGCGTTTCCTGGGGCAGGAAAGACAGAATAAGGAGAGAGAGTAGGAGAGGGGCTGTGAAAGTCAGTAGACCCGTTCTGAGTTGGGTTCAGAGCAAGAAGGGAGAACAGAGATGAAGAAGTGCAGGATTCTCTATCCTCTCCAGATTTTCTTACATCATAAATGTCAGAATTGAGAGAGCAAAGGATCGTAAAATTGGGGGCCTTGAAAGATGCCGAGAGATCATATAATCAACACTTCTGTTTAAGGAAAGCAAGATGTAGTGACATGAAGGCTGCTTTAGAGAGAGGAGAGAAATAAAGCTGGATAAATGAGTCCAGTTTGTTCATTCTTTTATTCAACGAATCATCATCAAGTTCTTTTGATGTGCATGACACTATTTAAGGCACTGGGAATATTGCCAAATAAGAGACAAAACTCCTGCTCTTATGACATGTACATCCTAATGGGGAATCGAATGAATAATATTTCAGGTGGTGAGGCGTGTGATGAAGAAAAAACTAAAATTCTCTGTTTTAGATAGGGTGATCAGAGAAAGCTCTTTTGAGGAGGTAACATCTGAGCAAAGACTGAATACAATGAGGTAGTCAGTAGTGTGCAACAGGAGGGTAGTGTACCCTCCAAATCTAAGAATCGCCAAAGTTAGTTGTGCTTTATGATAACATCTATGTTATGTGTCCCCATTAGATGTGTTTTATTTATAACATTTGAAGCATAATTACTTGGAAGTCAGAAAGTATCTTCCCATACAAATGATGTTGACAATTACGGTTGCTAGATTTCTGGACTGGTCCACAGAGACCCATTTAACTTATTCTATAATGAAACAATAGTATTGTACTGAGAGTGTTGTGGAACATAGCTGCCATTTAGGACATTGTTTCAAAGGGAAAAATTTCTTCACAGACCAAGTCAACCAAAGCCAACTCTAAGCACTCTTGAGGATCTTAGGCTACAGGGAAGGAGATCTGCAGGTCTGATCTTTCCATAGTTTAGAGCCAATCTAAGGCTCTGGAAAGCGGGGCAGGGAGCTAGGCAGGAGTTATTCAGCCCTCCTTGTATTTTGTACTGGCATAACTGCTTCCCCCATTCAAGGAAAACTCTGAGCAGAGTGTAAAAACTTCTCTTCCATATCTTTCTATTACCGCAGTCCCTGGAACACAACAGATACTGAAAAATATTTTGAAGAAAATGAACTTTGGCCAGCTGCACGTCTTTGGAGGGCAGTGATCTGAGCCTTCAGCGCCAGGATAGAAGCAGCAAACAATGGCAACTTTGGTGAGGGAAAGGGAGAGTCGAAGGAGGGAAGGGGCGAGCTCTCCCAGGCTGTGGAGTGGCCAGAAAGGAGGCTGGGAACCATCAGTTTCTACCTCCGGTTCCAGAGCTGGAACAAGAGTGGCTGAGGTTTATAAACAAGAGTTCATTGGGTTTTGGGTCGAGTCTAACTTGACATCTGGAGAATAAGAAAATGGACATCTTCATTATTCCAACCTACACATATATATGGATATATATATGGATATGTATATATATGTATATGTGTGTGTATGTATGTGTGTGTATATCAATCTATCTGTATAAAACCTGTATTTTTCTTAATCCCATTCAAAGTAATTGCTTGAATGTTTTAATCATTCCAATCTCATTTCTGATGGATTGTTTTTTTCAGTTCAGTATCTAGTCCACTAGACTAACGCTAGATATTTATTTAAAATTTCTACCACACAAAATACAACAATCAATCTAAAAGTTGCAGTGCATCAGGAGTTGAGCTATAATGGATTTTACATTCTTAGCATCTGAAAGAAAACATAAAAACTGGAGCTTGATAACATTATATATTAATTATTTGCTATAAATCATAAAAAATAGATTACCAAATATGCTCTGGGTAAAGTTGTAGCTCTCCCTCATGTTAATACTGAAAAAGCGATAATAACATCCAACTCTGTTCCAAATTCCATATACAACTCTATGGACTGTTTTTCTTCTCAGAAGCAGAGGAGCTAGCACAAGGGAGGATGTGAAAATCTCCCTGTTATCCTTTGAAATTCAGATGATGCTTCAGGTAGCAACTATTAACCACACATTTGTGAATACGGCCATAGAAACTGGGAGTATGTAAAAGTCTCCTTCCCAGAAAAGTTTGGAACACTGCAAATGGGAGCTTGGGAGATTATGACTTTGTGCCTTTAGACTCCTGGCTGCTCAGATGCCCGGTCTAATATGGTCACTTCTCAGAAGCTGACCACACTTCTCAGAGGCTGAAGCTTGCTTTGCATTGTTCTCTTTTCCTTGTTGTGTGTGGCTCTGCTTTGGCTCTGCTCCACGGCTTTTTAGGAGTCTGTTCACTCTTCACACACTTCCGGGTGTCACCCAGCTTCACTGTGCCAGTGACTTCCTTTGAGCCCCCTCTGGAGAAAACCAAGCAAGGGCAGGTGGCAACACTGGCCATGTAGCAGTTTCTTCAGGCAGAGTGCATGTTAGAGAGCCCTCCCTACTTCGCTGCATCACAGAGCTGGGAGGACTTATTTGAAGCATAAGGGTTTGGGTCTGACACACACCTGTGTTCAAATCCCATTTCCACTGCTTACTAAATCTGTGCGTTTAGTTAAGGCAATTAACTTCTCCGGGCCTCTGTTTCCTCATCTTTAAACTGGGCACAATGGTATCCAACTCAAAGGAACTTGTACGAGTTGGATGAGATAAGGTATAGAAAAGCAGGTGTTGGGACTGTGAGTTCTGCTGGAGATCTCTGAGGTACTCTCACTTTACAGGCGAGGAAACTAGCATTCAAAGAGGTGGATTAACTCGCTGTTAGTGTACAAAGAAACTTTTCAGGATCCCTGTCCCATGCACCTGGTCAAGGACAAAAGTAAAAGCTCTCTGTGACTCTAATATCTGATGATTTGTAATAACCCATACTTTCTCTGTTCCTGAGCCTAATCTAAGGTTCCCTTTCCTTTTATTGAGAGAAAGAGCCTTGTCCTGGTTTTATCAGTGACTGTGTTTTCTACACCCTATATCCCGACATCTCCTTCTAGCTGAAGTTCAGGGAAGCAGCTCCAGGTTCTTCCTCCCCATGCCCCTAGGGCTCAGGGTGGCTACTGAATAAGATAGGTTGGACAGCTGACCAAAGAATGGTTTGTGCTGGGGCCAACTGATGACCCATGAGGAGGCATGGACGAAGGTCTTTGGTCACCTTTGACTAGGCAGGTGATCACACTGGCTCTTTTCAGGATCTGGGTTGGAGAATACTGCAAGAATTGGTCTGTGGGAAGCAAGAAGAGAATGGGGACAGGCACAAAGAGCAAAGCAGAGGTGCCACAAGAGGGACAGTCACAGACCATGAGTGACAAATGTAGGGAGCATCCCTAGAGCCATCACTGATCTGATGGCCTTCTGTTTCCATCTTCAGTCCTCCCATTCTTCAGTACAAGTGTTACATCCAACAAACATGATCATGGGACATCAAGAAACCTTATTTTTCTCTCTTGCCTTTAAAATTCATACTGTGAGGCTAGAAGCTCTCTCTCAGTAAGATACATGGCAATCCTATGACTTTTCTGGTTCCTTTGTGATAACAAAATATCTTCCAATCAGAAATTAATATGTCTAGTCTTTATAATAATTGAAATTTTAAGCTTCATTTAAAGTTATGGCTGTTCCCTTCCTAGCTTAAACCTACTACCATTTCCTCTGACTTGAACTTCTATGCCTTCTCCCTCAGGGCTGAAGGGGAGCCTGGAAAGGGACAGGAAAGCACTCACTTGACTGATACTATCTCAAGCTGATGTCCCATTTTCTGGGTCTAGTTAGCATTTAAGATTGATTCTCCTCTCTTGGGGGTGGTTTTTGTAGGTTCTCCGGAGGACCGCCTCCCCCAATGCTAGTTATATTTTACCTGCATGCCCTTGACACAGGGGAAATACTGCCCTTGGAGGTTGGCTAATGACTCTTCCTTTGGCCTCTGGGTCTCAGTTTCCTCCTCCCTCCCACATAGACAGGCTCCTGTTTCTCTTTGGGGGCACCATGGCCCCTCTCATCAGCCCTCAGGCAAGATTTAACAGGACTGCGTACCAGCTCTCTTTCACAACCGGTCCACAGGAAACACTCCTTCTCGCTTTGCCACAACAAACTCTGGAAGTGCAGGCTGCTACAGGCTGAAAGTCTCTGACCCCCCACCCGCGCCCGCCCCAGATTCTTAGGTTGAAACCTAATCCCCAATGTACTGGTATTTGGGTGGTCGTTAGGTCAGGAGGGTAGAAGCCTCATGCATGGAATTAGTGCCCTTATGATAGAGACCCCAGAGAGTTGCCTCGCCCTTTCACTACGTGAGGTTACAGCAAATAGAAGGCATCGATGAACCAGGAAGCAAGCTCTCACTGGGCACTGAATCTGTCAGTGACTTGATCTTGACTTCCCAGCCTCCAGAACTGTGAGAAATAAATTTCTGTCATTTGTAAGACACCCAGTCTCTGGTACTTTGTTATAGAGGCCTGAATGGACTAAGACACAGGCCCAGCCCAGGGCAGCAGCTGCCGACCTCTTCTTTGCTCTGATGTTAGAACAGTTTCCTAGTCAGCCACTTATCCCATAGATTTTTTCAGGGATGAGTCATAAACTAGATCTCAATGTCCCCCCACCCCCGCCCCAAACTGCAGGGAACACATGTTGAAGAATCTGAAGAATTTCCTTTAAAGACCTTGCGACTTGATTTGAGATGAAGGAGGAATTACCCTTCACCTGCCCCTTTGGGGGACTGTGTACAACTTACAGCACACCAAGAGCTCTTTCCAAAGACTGTCTCCTTATTTCCAACAGTCTTTTCATGGCTTCCTCAACTTCTTTTATAGACTGGAATTCAGTGGTTGAAGGTGTGAAACCAGTTTTCTGCCTCATCATATTGGCAGTCTGCCTGGCGATATCTCACTTTACTTTGAAATGTGGTATCCATTATATAGACAACCAGGTTTAAACTGAGACTAAAAAAGTTTCATTTTAATATCATGTTTCACTTACAATAAAGCCCCTTTCGACTAAAGTACTTGTTCCTTGCAATTAAAGCAGTCTAGCTAACACAAACTCCATGATCATGGGTGTGGGAGGAGAATTCTAGAAAAGTCATGGAAGAAGGAGAGAGGTGAGAGGAAAAGAAGAGATGGTGGTAGTAAGACTTCAGATAAATTTAAATTAGGAGTTCTACTCATATTCATTGTGCCCAGTTAGTGGCCCCCAAGGTGCTTTAATCATCCCCAGGCAGAATTGCTGCTGTATGGTTAGGAGAAGTGCCTAAAACTAATGGCAAATAAGATAAGCCCATAACAGCCATTATCCCATGACACTTAAAACAGGCTATACGCCAAGGCTCAACCAGCAGCATATAAATATTACCCCTACCCCAAAGTTGGATACAAAAGCATGAAATTTTCAGCTCAAAGAAATCATCCAAATTTCTAATCAGGATAATGGGTTAAGTTTATATGAGAAGATCACTCTTCCTACTTAAAAACCATAAAATAAAGGAATGCTGGAAAAATTATTTTAAAAATCTAAAGCATACTAGAACAGTAACAATTTTTAAAGTGTGGTATTGTTGCACAAATACATAGATCCATGGAACAGAATAGAAAAGACAGAAAGAGATCCAAATACACATGGGAAATGAAAGTATGATAAAGTTAGCATTTTGGATCATAGGGTAAAAATGGCTTATTTAATAGGTGATGTTGGGACAACTGGAAAGCCATCTGGCAAAAAATAAGGTTGGTTTCCTATCTCACACAAAAAAATCAGAGATTAAATATAAAAATGAAGCCATAAAAAATTCTAGAAGAAAAATATTAGAGAATGTATTTGTAATATCAGAAATCATAAAATCAAAGTGATAAATTGGGCACTATAAAGCTATAAAATTTCCTCATACAAACACTGCATAAACAAAAGACTAATGACAAATGGGAAAAATATTTGCATCTTATATCACAGTTAAAGAGCTAATTTCCTTGAAATGTAAAGAGCTCCACAGCACGATAGAAAAATGGGCAAAGATGTGAACAGAAAGGAAATTCATATGGTTCTTGAACTTATAAAAAGATATTCACTGTTGCTTATAGTAAGAGAAATGGAAATTAAAGCTACAGTGAGATACCATTTTCTACCTAAAAGACTGGCAAAGAACAAAGAGGTGGATCACAACCCCTGTTGTTGAAGAAGTGGGAAAACACACATCCTCACCACCACCAGCCGGAGTACACTTGGTACAACCTCTACGCAGGGCCATGCCTATCAGTGTAAAAATGAATAGGCTGTTTGGGCCAGCCATTTCCCTTTAGAGATGCACATAAATGAAATTACATACATACGAGGGTGTTCATCGTAGTAAAATGAGATTGTGTAAGGATAGTCACTGCAGTATTATTTGTAATAGTAAAAGATGGGAAACAGCCTAAATGCTTATGAGTAGGGGACTTTAAAAAATTATGGTACAACAAAACAAAGTAGCCATTGGGAGGATGAGGAAGTATTAATATGTACTCATCTATAAGGATGTCCATATTGTTACCTGAAAGAGCAAGTGAAAAATTGCATCTGTGGCATGCTGCTTGTGACATATATGTACATACTGAAACATGCATGGACTCTTTCTGAAAGGTTACATAAGGAACTGGTAATAGTGTTTTTATCTAGAGGAAGGATCTCAGTGGCTGGGGGATTGACAGGGGTAGGAGGGTGTCACTCTTACTTTCTTCTTTTGGGGAGGAGAACCTTTTGAAAAATTGTAACTGATTTGGGGCCAAATTTACACTACCACTGTGGTACAGAGGCCCTGAGCTGAGAAACTTACATAAAAATTGGTCTAGAAGCAGACTGACTGGACAGAGCCTCAGAGGGGATAGTGGGAACGACCCCGAATGAACGCTCCTTCCACAAAACAGGGTACCATTACCAGCTGGGCTCAGAACTGCCATCCACCCACAGTGTTCTTTCAGGCCAGATTTCTCCTGTTTGTTCTACCCTAGGACTTTCTTGTCTCTGTCTGGTGTTCTTTTAAGCCACTATGCCTCAGTGACAGACAGCTGGCCGGCCTCATGGTTCCCAGCTCTGATCCTGGTAAGATTCATTATGCCCGAGGCCGCCCTGCTCCATACCCTCTTCACTTCCTGTCTCATGTTTGTTCTCCAGTTTTTTTCCCCCCCGTCTGCAGCTTAGCATTTACTTGGCCATTTTTCTATAACGATTCTGGTTGTCCAGCCTGGGTGGGTTGCCTCAGCTTGCCTCAGGTGAATTCCTTCTCTAATATAACCCCTTCCCAGGACCCTCTCACCTTGGTGGAATTGGCCCAGACCCAGGTGTGAGAGCAGGCAGACACCCACCCACTGAATGAAGCTTCTTTCTCAAAGTCGGTTGCAGGGTTTCTACACACACAGAGGCACACACTCCCATCCCTTAACTTCCCCTGCTCAGTTCCATAGGTGGTCCTGGGATGGTTTCTTTACTTCCTCCCTTCACCTAATCCTTAGGCTCATAGTGCTTGTGCTGACAGCTGAGACTAACGGATGATTCAGGGGGTACCCGTTTCTTTCTTCCACCAAATGTCTGCCCCTGAAAGATTTTTTTATTGAATCTGAACCAGCTTTCTTGCAACTGACCTGACATTTTCTCAGCATTCTCTTTAACTCTGTTGATGTCATTCTGTAAGGAGGTAATGAGTTTAGCATGTTGTTCACTCCCTACATTCTTGTACTCCTCCCAATATTCTTTCTCACTGAGTTTCTCAAGAAATAGTTTCTCAGCGTTATTTATTTGGATGCGCATATCTGTTGAAAGAAAATCGAGACTTTCTGTCATTTCTATTGTCCTTGCAACCATTATATGTTGCAATCTGTTTTTGTGAAGTTAAGGTCTGATGTGAAAATATCAACTCTTAAATACTATTTTATATCTATAATTTAGGGAAATCTAAACTATTCAAACTATTGTTTATCTAGCCCTCATGATTCAAAATCTAAGTAAAATTAGACTTCCAATTATAAAGTAGTTGTGTGGTTTGGGGCTGTGATTGAGAGCTGTAACATGCAATCAACCTATATGCCTAGGGACCCACAAGCTTAAATTATGCCTGTGATAGCTTGATAAGTGTCCTGTCTTGTACAATATATTATGTCGCATATACTTTTTATTAGTGAATTGTCATTTTTCTGGTCATTATGTGTCTGGGCAAAGTGATTTCAACTTAACATCCTTCCCCAGTACTTGGTGACCATTTTTGTAGGTAAGCTGTTTGATTCCATCATTTAAAGTTCAATTGTTTGAGCTTCCCTTGTGTGAAATGATAGCATATGATAGTCATAATAACCTGCCTTCCCCTAACCCCACACAGTGAGACTTCAGAGTGAAACATAAGTTCCCCAGTTACGTGTGTACAAATACGGAGCCCTCTCAATCATATAAACTTTCAGCTTGCCCTGGTGTACTTCCTACACATGATATTCTACTCAGTCTTTAGGCTGAGTATCATGCTGCTGAATATTCTGGAAAAGGCAGCATTACAAAAAGCCAGGTCCGATGAACTGAATGGCTGTTTGGCGCACTACCACGCACCGTCTTGTTTGAGAGCCCCTGAGGGCAAGACCACGTCTTACTCATCTCTGTCCACCCAGCACTTAGCACAGAGTCTGGCATTTAGTTGGTGCTCAATCGATGTTTATGACTGAAGCATCCCGTTCAGGCCAGAGAGGTGTTCTTCAGTCCAAAGGTCCAGGAGTTCTCCAGACATGTCTTTTTCCAAGACATGATAATATATTTTTAATATATATATTTTAATATATACTTAATATATTAAGAATATAAGATAATATATTTTAAACTCCCTTAACAAATGGTACTTGTTATTATCATTAAACAAGTAAGAACACTGCACCCCAGTGATCAGCTGTCCTCCGATGTGGGCAGACTGTTGCTGTCTCAGCCCTGCACCATGTTCAGTCTTTGTGGGGAGGGTTGATTGATGTCACTGAAGCTTTTGAAAGAGAGGGGGGTGTAGTGGCTATTGCTCTACTTTCCCAGAACCCCTCTCTCCCTTCCCTTCTAGTAACACATGTCTCCTGTCCCTTGTCATATAAGTAGACCGATAACAGTCGCCCCTTCTCCTGGCTTTAGGGATTGGTCCAGGGCTGAGCAGGTGCCCCAAGCTGGGTAAATGCTCGGAGTCCTCCCCTAGAAATATTTTCACTGGTGGAAAACATGTCTCTTTTGTCTCCACTTTGAGGTTATAAGGATGTAAGTTCAGAGGTGTCTCTGGTCAGAATTCCAGCCTCATGGGGAGAACATTCTCAGAAAAAGGAGCCAACTTTCAGGGGGAAGGCAGAGAGAGAATACGCGTAAGAGGAGCAGCGGGTGGAGGGGGAGGAGGTGGGATAAAAGAGGGAGGGTGATGCAGGGGGAGAGAGGGGGGCAAGAGAGGGAAATTAACAAAAAGACGCTGAGATCTGACAGCATGTGAGGCTCTGGGTCCAGGTCAGTAGCACCCTGCCTTTTCTGTTCGGTTACATGAAAAAATTAACATCTTCTTTATGCTTGGACTAGTTTAGATTGGATTTTTATCCTTGCAACTGAAAGAGCCCTAACTAAACATTGGAAGAAGGGAGTTGTGTCAGCACTTCTCAAACTTTACTGTGCACAGGACTCCCCTAGGATCCCGTCCAAATGCAGATTCTGATTCAGCAGGTCCGGATGGGGGTCTGAGGTTCAGTACTATCACAAGCTGCCAGGTGAAGCTCCAGCTGCTGCTCCACGGACCAAATTGAGTTGAAAGTGACTGACTACCTGGTACAAAATGTCACTGCCTCAGGGATCCTTTGTAGACACATCTGTTCTCTCTTTCCTTCTCTTCCTCAGCATCTGTGGGCTTCTTTCTTCCTTGGACCACTGCACATGCCCAGCCCTCCTGTTCTTAGTCACCCAGCACGTCCCCAGTCTTGTATGACACACATACCCCAGCACTCAGCCCAAACCACAGACAGGCACACCTTAACTAACCGGGCCCATTCCCTTTGAAGGCAGTTTAGGGAGCACATCTAAGTATCTGCTTTGGTCTCACACCCATCTCAAGGGTTTGACTTCTTAAAGCATTCCTTCCAAACATAAGCAGAACTCTCCTAGACAGAAGCCCGACCAGAAAATACGTCTACCACCTCATGACATCACTGTTGTTCACACAGGGACTTGGCAGGAGGAGGCTTATGGGAAAGTTTTAGAGACCCCCTAAAAATGAAATTTGCTGATTGACCTTTGGCGTTGGTAACTATTTCTTTCAGAATAACAAATATCTACAAAGGGAATGCCTGCTCTGCGCCAAGCGCTTGGGTAAGGAGGCTCTCTAAAATGCTTGGGGAAACTCAAGAAAATCTAGTCCCTTTTTTTGCCTCTCAGATTCTAATACTGCTTCCTGAGAGCACTCAAGTCTCTCCCTTGTTTTCCAGCTTCCTAGCTGAGATGGTATTTATAGAGGTTCTGGCAAAAGTTTTAGAAATCTGAGCAGCAAGTTTATGATGAAGGGATAGGATTTTTTTTTTTTTTTTGCGGTACGCGGGCCTCTCACTGTTGTGGCCTCTCCCTTTGCAGAGCACAGACTCCGGACGCGCAGGCTCAGTGGCCATGGCTCATGGGCCTAGCCACTCCGCGGCATGTGGGATCTTCCGGGACCAGGGCACGAACCCGTGTCCCCTGCATCGGCAGGCGGGCTCTCAACCACTGCACCACCAGGGAAGCCCTGTCTTTGTTTTTGATCACTGCCCTTACTCCTCCGCCTCGCTTGGCTTCAGTATCTCCGCCCACTTTATTTCCCTGTCTCCTCCACTTACTTATATGTGTTTGTGGTTGTGGTGATGATGTCATTTGAAATGTGTTCACAGCCTTTTGAACATATTAGGAGACAAAAGCATTAATACATTCAAGAAATAACTTGATACAGCTTTATGATAATTTTCTAAGTTTCTAAATCACCTTTCAAGTTTTGCTCCTGGTCTCTTACAAACTTCCATTTTTCCTTCATTGCTTCTTCAACTTCCTCTCTTGTTACAACTGCTAATCCCTTTGACTTCTCCTCACTCAGGTCCTTTAGTAGGTTCCTTATGTGCCAAATCTGTTCATCCTTTAAGCGTTTATTCTGTCATGAATATCAACAGTTGTTAATTACATCTGCTGAAGTACTTCCATTGATTTCCCTCAAATAGAGTTACACATTGAGGTTTGCAAAATGAGAGATATTTAATGAAATAAGTTATTCAATAACATGTCTAAAGAACATATGGAATATGGAAGACTCAAAATTAAACCCATCAATACAGTAATCACTGAAGAGAAAGTTACATATTAAAACCTGCGTTATTAATCTGCCAGTCTATCACCCTGTCATAGGATCGGTGAACATTAAAATTAGATTTCAGAGGTCAGTTTCTTCAACTCCCACAAACACCTTGCTTTTCTAGGAAACATCGTTCATTTAGTCAGTATTTATGGGGCATCTACCATATGCCAGGTAGTCTTCTAGACACTAGGAATATATCAGTGAACAAAATAGACAAAAGTACTGCTCTTGTGGAATTTACATTATTCTTTGTTTTTCTCACAAATGACCCTAACTCTCTTGTTCTGGGGTGATGGTTACTATTTCAATACTCCATACCTGAAGTATGGACTGTGTTCCTTTTGTGAATATCCCACCTATGTTTCCAAGTTTCTTACTTAATCAACTTAGAGTTTATTCTTGTCCTTGCTAGCTTATTATGTATATGTAGAGATATTTTACTGTGTGTGAACTTAATACCTTTTCCTTGTAATTTTCTTAGCCTCCCTTTAAGTTTTAATCCTCACTTTCCTGGTGTCTCTCCTTCAATTTCTTAAACCTAATAAAATGCACATACTTAAAATATTCTAATACTTCTTTTAAAAATTATTTTTCCTATAATTTAACATTCTCTTTACTATAGCTTTTTCAACATTATATTTTATTTCTGATATTCACGTCTTTTATCCTCTTAACCTACATGGATACTCTACTGGAAGAGTATTTTCTTTCCCAAAATTTATTCTCTGGGCCAGTGATTCGCAGACTTCAATGTGTATACCCAACACTTGGGGATCTTTTTAAAATGCAGATTCTGGTTCAGTAAGTTTGGTATGAAGCCTGCAATTCTGCACTTCTGATAAGCTCCAGGTGATGCCAAGCCTGCTGGCCCACAACCCACAGTTTGGGTAGCAAACTTCTTTCAGGTAATCCAAATATCTGTGATTTATTGATAGTACTACGGCCTACTAAAACTCAATTCTTTAACACTTAATCCAACAAACTTTAAAGTTGAAGGCTGAAAAATTTGATTTCTAGTTTAATAAACTCCCTGGACAGGATTATGTAACCTTAGTGCTCTTTAAGTTATTCCACAGGCTGCGTGACATTATTGTCATTTCAGTGCATTAGAATTTTAATTTAAAACTTTGATAAGCTGAAAGAAAGCAACAGACAATTAACTTTATGATGATGCTCAGTATTGAGAAATACAGGCCCAAAAAAAAAAAAAAAAAGACTGGGACTGGACAGGCTTTGAGTGATTAAAAAAAAATGGAAATAAAGATTAAAAAGATATGGGCTTCCCTGGTGGCGCAGTGGTTGAGAGTCCGCCTGCCGATGCAGGGGACATGGGCTCGTGCCCCGGTCCGGGAGGATCCCACGTGCCGCGGGGTGGCTGGGCCCGTGAGCCATGGCCGCTGAGCCTGCGCGTCCAGAGCCTGTGCTCCGCAATGGGAGAGGCCACAACAGTGAGAGGGCCGCATACCGCAAAAAAAAAAAAAAAAAGGTTAAAAAGATATGATATTCAAAATTTGGTCGTTTAACTTCTCTGATCTTTTGTTTGTAATATTCTAAAGTGTCATAATTCTGTCTCTGAAGAATTTTTAGTACCGAAGGGTTCATAATATGATATATCTGAAAACTGAATCTCTTTCCTTCTGTGTAAAATCTTATTGGGCATGATGTAAGCAGGAATGGTGGAATAAGACTTCTGAAAATCCTCTCCTTCATAAAAGCAATGAGAAAAAGTTGGCAAAAATTGTCAAAATCAACTTTTCAGAACTCTTGAAATGAAAGGCTTTGCAGTAACTTCCAGGGAGTGTTTATTCAAGAAAAATGGTTGAATCTTGGTAAGGACAAGTGAGCTTTGTGGCATTTTAACGTGCTCTAAAAACCAAAAGCCCAAGGTTACGGTAAAAACCAGCAACTTAGCAGCCTGGGGTTGAGGGTCATGGAGAGAAGTGAGGGGAACAGAACTCTTCCAAAGCTCAATTCCCAAATAACAGTCACTATTTGACCTATCTGGTAATTCCCTGGAAAATCCCACTGGGAAACCTTGTCTTTATTTGACCTGAGTCAGAGCTTACCCAGCGTGTGACCAGCCTTTTCCCAGATTGATGTTGGTCAAAAACAATCAGAGGCAGATGTTTGTCAAAAACAATCAACAATTGTTGAACATTACAGCTCCCTGAGGCGGTAGTAAAAGTTGAGGTAAACAACAAGCTGACCAAAAAACTTTAAAAGAAAGCTGCAGATGAGATGTCCATGGAGAGCTTTGAAAGCTCTGACATATTCCTGGGAATCTAAAAGGCCACATGCATGTATAGCGCATATATATAAATTTAATAACATCTATATTAAACTTCCCAAATCCTGTATGAATTTCAAATAGAAAGGAAATGTGTCTGACAATGTTATAAAATTCGCTATGTCTGAAAAATTATTTTGAGCTACATACCAAAATAAAATTTATTTAAATATATCCACCAATATGCTAAAAAATGACATTTATCTTACGAAGTACATTTATTATTTGAGGTAAGAATAATTATCACATTATAAAATAGAAGAAAGGAAATTTAGTAATTAAGTTACAAAGAAAGGATTAATTTTGTTTTGTTATAAGGCCATCTCATGGTCTTTTTTTTAACTTTTTAAGACTCAAGAACAAGAATAGAAGTTGCCAAAATAGGACACACAGTTCCCATCTACTATTCACCCAGCTTTCCCCAATGATAACATCTTATCTAATGATAGTACAGTATCAAAACCAGGAAATTGACATTGGTACAATGTTATTAACTGAACTAGAGACTTTATTTGGATTTCACCAGTTTTTACTTTTTTTTTTTTTAGTTATAGTTGTGATATTGTGATCTATAAAAATATATTTATTTGGTCATTCAGATGACTAAAACATATTTCTTAGCTATATTTGGTTTTCACCCATAGTTCCTGGTCCACAGTGCCCAAAACCCTTGGAATTTCTGCCATCAACAATTGGGTTTATGTTAATGAAAGTGACTTTTGAATCCCACAGGTGGGGAGAGAGGGAAGGGGCCTGGTTGCCAGGAGAACCAACCAAATTATTAGAGGGTTGGAACTTTCATTCCCTCCCCCTGATTTCCGGGGAAGGGAGAGGGACTTGAGGTTGAATCAGCCGCTATTGGCCAATGATTTAGTCAATCATGATTATGTAATGAAGCCTCCATTAAAACCGGAACAAGGAGCGTCTTTTGGTCCTTTTTGAGAGAGCTTCCATGTGACACTGTGCTGGGCCCCAAGCTTCACAAGGACAGAAGCTCCTTTGTTCAGGACTTTGCTCTATGTATCTCTTCATCTGGCTGTTGATTTTGATTCATATCCTTTAATACCCTTTTTATGATAAATCAGTAATCTAGTGAGTAAATGGGTTTTCCTGAGTTCTGGGAGCCATTCTAGCAAATTAATTGAAACTGAGGAAGGGGTTGTGCGAGCCTCTGATTTATAGCCAGTCGGTCAGAAGCACAAAAAACAACCTGGGCTTGCAGCTGGCGTCTGAAGTGGAGGGTGGTCTTGTGGGACTGAGCCCTTTACCTGTGGAATCTGACTCTATCTCCTGGTAGGTAGTGTCAGAGTTGAGCTGAACTCTCAGACACCCTGTTTGTGTCTGAGATTCTCTTGCTGGTGAGAGGAAGCCTCCACACATACAAGTTGGAACTGGGTCGGGAACCCTTTCAATAGGATTATGAATTCTGTCACATATACATATGAGAAGTATCACTATGAAGATGGCATTTGAAGCCATGATGTTAAATAAGATGATCCAGAGAGAGTTTAGAGTGAAAGAGAAGGATGGAGGTCAGAACCTTGATAAATACCCTAATTAAAGGGTGGTTCTAGGAAAAAAACAATGAAAACCAAGAAAAAATGATCAGAGAAGTAGAAGGAAATTTAAGAGTGATATCCTGGAACCCAAAGGAAAAAGAGTTTCAAGATGACAGGAGTGACTGCTGAAGGAGTAAGGGGTAAAGAAAGGACTACAAAGAGTCCATTGAACCTGGCTAACTGGTCATTAACAACTTTTTCTAGAGCGGCTGTAGCGGAATAGCAGGAGTGAAAGTATGTGTCGGGAAGTAAGGATGTGAACACACTGAACTATGAAATATCTAATGATGTAGTGGAGCAATGAATGCAAACAGAAAAAGAAAGATAATAAACATCTAAACAGAACTAAACACATAGGAAGAGATGATGGGTAGGAAGGAAGAGGGGCATTTCCGATTTCCACATAACTGAAGAGAAAAATATATCTTGCTAATGAGTCATGTTTAACTTAGCAATTTAAATATCTGTGACCTCAAATTTTTTTCCTCCCACTGGTGTTTGTGTGAATCAACTCAACATATATTTATTGAACATCTACTCATGCTGGGCCTTTCTGGAGAAACGAAGATAAGATTTGATTGCTGCTGCCTAAAGGGCTTTCAACTGAATAATGGAGAAATATTTTTACACAACATCCTACCTCAGATGGGGGGAATGAACAGGGGCTAGCCAAGAGAAGAGCATTTCAGGAAGAGGAAACAGCCTTTTTGTTGTAAAGGTACCATAGTAAGAAAAAGATTGGGTTTTCTAATATTTAAAAGAAGCAGGGGTAAGCAAAGGGTGGGGCGGCTGGAGACAAGATTGGAGAGGTGAGCAGAGGTCAGCTTTTGCAGGGCCTTGAAGACTTTAGGAAGGACTATGGATTTTACTTTCTGTGCAGTAGGAAGCCACTGCAGGGTTTTAAGCACTGAAAAGTTTACCGTATTCCAAGGGTGATTCTGGTTGCACTGTGGAAACTGTACTGGTTAGAGGAAGGATGTGTAAGAGAAGATGGTGGCTTAAACTGTGGCAATAGCAGCATAAATGGAAAGAAATAGATACATACGGTTGAGCTAGAGTCTGCATTACCATGCTCCTCACTGCTGGGTCCACTAGTGACTCCAAGATCTATCGCATTCTTGAGCTAATCCTCATGGAAACAAGAACTTTGTTTCTGGCTCCAGTTGATGGGTTATGGGAAAGTGATTCCTCAGTCCTGATCTGTTGTCCTTTGCACAACCAAATGGAAATCCCAAAGCTGGCCTGGGAGTTCCCATGCTGACCACTAGGGGGTGTGCATTGGCCCCTTGATGGCAGCTCACTCTCATGTGCTCTGGAATCACATGTGGAACCTGCCTCCAAGTGCCTAAGCCAGACTTCCCCTTTCCACTCTCATCCACAGACTTCAGTTTCTTAGGTCCTATTGCAAGTGACTGATTCTTCAGAATCATGAAAATGTCAGGGTCACAGTTATATCACCACCGGGGCTTGTCTTGCCCAATACATATTTGCTGAACAAATGAACAAATTCCCCCTATAAGGAAGACAGGAATCCTCATTTTACAAGGGGGAAATTGAGGCTTACACCAGGTTGGCCAAAATGACATCAGCAGTAAGTTGTACAGTCAGGATGCAAATTTAGGTCTCTGACCCAAATTCTGTTAAAATTTGTAGATATAGTCTTTTTAGACAAAAGCCAAATAAAACAGGTGTGGAAATTTCAGGGTACATATAAAATAAATGTTTTAATAGTGGACACCCTCAGTATTTCCTCACTCATGAGAACCCTTAAGGGCTAAGTTGTATGCATCATTTACTGCTTCCTAACTTTATTTCTGTTGGTCCTGAGAGTCATATACAGCACCCCTTTGATAGTCACTTTATTCTAATTTCATAAAAATAAATCACTTAAACAATAAATTAGTCATTTTAACAACCGAGATTGTACTTTTCAGATAATATTTACATATGCACACACTCTGAAAATCTAAAGGAAAACAGATACAGAAATTTAAAATAGAGAACCAATGTTTTATAGTGTGGTTAAATAAGAATTTAAAAGATAAATGTGGTTGCAGAGCTTTAAATTTTTCAACATAAGATTCAGTGTCTGCATGATCTAAATAACACAATTCAAGCTGACTTCCTTTGACATTATCATTAATATAATAAGAACAGCAGTATCCTCTTGTCTCCCATGTACAAAAATGTATTTAAATATAGTGTAAATTTATCAACTCCAAGGGCTAAAGAAGATAATTTCCTAGAGTTCATTTCATCATAACTCACAATTTTTTAAAGCATTTGTGTAAATGTTTAATGACTAGATATTGGCTTTAAATTTTATACTTACTCTTTCATGATACTTTTGGTTCTTTTCTCTCATTTTCTTTATTTGAGCCATGAATCGTTCCACTGCATTTTCCTTTATTTGACAGCTGATAACAAAGACAAGATGTATTTTACGATTATTTGCCTTAGGAAAAACTAATGAGATAAAATTTAATCTAAATTAATTTGAATTGAAATAAAGTATTAAACATATTATAAAGACCCATTTAGGGATAAGAATCTTAAGTGAGTTTGTGTTTCTGAGTATCTTTTACTCACTAAAATATGGATTAGAGAGATAACTTCAAGTTTTTAAAACTTGTCGTTGTGGATGTGGTTTCATATACATTCCTGCATCACTGACAACCTGAATTTTCTGAACTGTATCAAACTCAAAGACACCACCAGATGTTTTCAGAATAATATCTGCCAGTAGCTGCCAGCTGCAACCTTATGGTCTCAAGGTCTCCGCTTGTAACTGTGTGATGATTTTGGACCCCAACCAATCCTTGCTTAACAAGCACCCTTACTTCTTGCCAGCTCCAATCCTAATTCTTGACAAACAACGTGTAACTGTGGTTTTTTGCCTATATAAGCCTCCCCATTTCATAGTCAGTGGAACACAATTCAAGTGTTTCTTGAATCTGTGTCTCCTGGGCTATAGTCCTCAGTTTGGCTTGTATAAAACTCTTTTCTATTTTTATTACAGGTTGTTTATTGAGTATTTGCCTCAACATAGTAATGTGTCGACTTCCTTCTTCCATGTAATTTCATTGAAAATTCTGAGAAAGAAAACAAATTTGGATTCCAAAAAAGAATCTATAATTTTATCTACTTTTTAAACCCACAACTATATCCATACCTATTTCTATCTCTATGTCCATACTCATTGTAGAAAACTAGGTTTGGGGGAATACGTATAAAGGAAAAAATAAAAACCACCATTACCTAGAGATGACCACTTTATAGATTTAGCATTATGTAATAAGATATTTTGAGAGAGGGAGAGAAAGACCACATTCACATAACTTTTAATACAGTATATTGTTATAATTGTTCTATTGTATTATTACTTATTATTGTTAATCTCTTACTGTGCCTAATTAATAAATTAAACTTTATAATAGGTATATATGTATAGGAAAAAACATAGTATATAAAGGGTTCGGTACTATCTGTGATTTCAGGCATCCACTGGGAGTCTAGGTGTGTAATCCCTGAGGATAAGGGGTGGGGGAGAGACTAAGAGATGATCACTTTATAGGTTCAACACTGGCAGTCTCAGCTTTTCACAAACAACCATATAGGTTCATGACTTTATTTTCTTGAGATAGATTTTGTTTTAAGTTAACTGTTTGGAATTGACTACCTACTGTGTGCCCTCGGCTCTTTGTCAGGAGCTGAGATTGTATAAGAGAAATATAAGATGCTGCCAGGGGACCCTTGGATAATCCTTCCTCAGATGGTGGAGGGAGGTGTCCTGGCTATTTGTCATGTGACAAAAGTCCTGTCACCTCGGAACACATGGAATGAGTAAAGCGTCACCGGAAGAGCACAGTAAGGCCTAGGCTGTTCCAGTCCATGAGATTATTTATTTAGTTTTAACAAAGGAAAGAGAACAAAAGCATGGGAATGTTCAACTTGCGTCTCTCACTAGATCATGAGAACTTTTAAACGTGTGCCTCTTTGTAAACCTCTGTTAAAGAGGAGAAAGACTGCCCTCTGGTTGACCCAGAAGAGAGAGAACGAGCTGTTAAGTGGATGTCATCACTGTGAGCCATGGAAGCAGATTAGAGACCAGATTGTAATCACAGAGCTGGACTTTTTGTCCACCTCTGCTAAGGCAAGATGAGCGAAGTTTTCAGTTATGCTGAGAAATGAGTGCAGGTACAATCTGGTCATCACTTAATTGTTATCTAGAAAATAAAGGGAACTTCGTTAAAAGTCCCTTCCCATGGATGTTTCTCTCTCAGTGTTCTGACCCTTTCGCTCACTATCTTCTAAAAAGAACATATGAATAGATTTGGAGTCTTGCAGGGAGATGGATTTTCCCTGAATGTTGTTAAAAACAATTCTCTTAAACAAAGGCCTAGTCACCAGCAGTGTGGACTCCTGACTTTCAACCTTGTTGCCCTCCAATAAATGGCTTCCCATTTCCAAAGCCCAAGTATTCCACAGGGGTCTGCTTATCTGACCCTTACCTAAACCCCCAGAGTCTGCTCTGCCCTCTCTCCCTCACTCTGCCATTTCTCACTTCCTAGACTGTGATAAGCTCTTCCTCACCCCAGCCTTTTTTCCATAAGCCTTCTGTCCATCACTCTGTCTCCTTAACACCTGTTCCTCTTTCAGAGGTTAGCTCAACATCGCTTCCTCAAACAAGCTTTTCCTGGTCTATTTCAAGTCCTTCAGTTACAACTAAGCCTGTGAGCCACAACTACTGAGCCCGCGAGCCACAACTACTGAAGTGCTTTTGAGCACTTCATTTTCCATTGGACTCATATGAGTCTTAGCAGCAATGATTGCCACTTATGTATGGGAACTTTGGGATTTCATAATCTAAGCTTACTGATAGTCGAGAAGTGCTTCACCGATAGGCAATTTGACTTCTTTTGGCGGTCTGTCTTGAAAATCCTTTTTATTTGTTTTCAACGTGTTTTCCATTGTGTTGCTTAGCTAGAAAGAAGAATACCTGTTTTAAAAAGAGGCATAGAAAGAATAAATAAATTCTTTGTCCCTCGACTTGTGTTTACGAGATAAAGCACTGCTGGGACTTAATTTAAAACTGGCTTTTCCATCCAGATTGCTTCCACGTCCCGAGAGCTAACATCCACCACAATGCTGGGACCTCATGAATCAACTGGATTCTTGAGTCTGGTGAGTTCCATGCTTAGCCCAGGTACAGCATTCCCCCACCCAAAACTGTCTGAGACTCACCTCTTACATTATCCATCAAAAACTGTTGCCCCTGTCAAGCTTCTTTAAGAGCAAGGGCTAAACTTTTTCAATCATTTAATGTCTCCACAATGTTTGGTAGAGTGCACCACATGTAACAGCAGCTCGATATATGTCTTTTAGTTTTTAAAAAGTAAGACAAAACAAAAGCACAACTTTCTATGAGCACCAAGAGACTAGGCTCCAAAAGAATTAGAACTGGGATCCAAAAGAATTAGGTTTGCCCAGGATTGTTATAAAGAACAAATAAAAGGACACATTAAAGTGTTTTTTAAATGGTGAAGAGGTTTACAAATGCAAAATAATAAGAAGAATGATAATAATAATGTGTTATCATTAACAGTAACTGTTCATCAGCTATTAATTGCTTTTGTAACTAATAATAAAAACTATGAAAACTAATATTTTTTAAACAAGAAAATCAGGCCCAAGGTTCTTAGATTTTTATGGGAAGCAGAAATAACTTTGTGGATTTGGTATGGATACTAATGCACATCTTTTAAGATCATAGTCTTCCTTGACAGATTTTTATCTTTTGATTTTTATTAATCTCAAGAAAATAAGTGCCTAACCTTCAATCAGTGTGTTAGTAGTTGGGTGTGGTAGAAAGAACATAACCTTTGTAATTATTTGTTAAAATGGCTGGAAACTCCATGAGAGTGGGGATGATGTAATTCTTGTGTATTACTGTATTTCCCCACCTAGCACAGTAGATGCAGTCCTTGTCAAATGAATGAATGGACAGGTGGATGAATCAGGCAGACATATTTTAATCCTAGATCCACCATCTTTTACCTGTGTGACCTTGAGTAGGTTACTGAATCTTTTTGAGCTTCAGTTCCATCATTTCCTAAAGTGAGAACAAAAATCTTATTCTAGGGCTTCCCTGGTGGCGCAGTGGTTGAGAGTCCGCCTGCCGATGCAGGGGACACGGG